TAGGATCATTGGACCCCCAATAAGTTGGCCAACTCAACTTACCAATAATCGTGGTCACCTCCCAACCAAAACCCCCCCCTCCCTCCTACTCCTTACCTATGTATACCCACTCTTTTCCTGATACAATCATCACTTGAGTTTCTCACATGGTTTCAGAGCTTATGGCTCACGCCTCTCCGTGGTTCGATCCCTAGCCACCTCGCGCCCAACGCGCCCCTACCCGCGCCCTTAAGCGCCCCTCTCCGCGCCTTTAAGCGCCCCTCCCCGCGCCCTTAAGCGCCCCTCTCCGCGCCTTTAAGCGCCCCTTCCCGCGCCCATAAGCGCCCCTCCCCGCTCCCTTAAGCGCCCCTCCTCGCGCCCTTAATCGCTACGTTTTCGCGCGGCGCTCTTGCCGCATTTCAACGCGGCGCTCGGCCGCATCTCGACGCGGCGCTCGGCCGCATTTCGACGCGGGCACTCAGTCGCATTTCGGCGCGACGTTCCGCCGCAATTTGACGCGGCGCTCCCGCACCATCTTGACGCAGCCCTCCCGCCATATTTCGACACGCCGTCTCCTCCGCACTCCGTCGCCTCCTCCCCTTTTGTGCAGTCCCGGCGCCCCCGCCTGACAAGCGGGATTCGGCCGGGCTGACCTCTGTGCCGGCGTGCACCGCACGCAACTGCCCACAGCTGCCGATCGTTGCCATCCGCGCTGGCCGTCGCCTTTCGCCTACGGCGACTTAAGAGCTGCGCTCCGCGCACCCGCCTTTTTCCTCCTCCCCCCCCCCCCCTCCTCCCTCCCTTCCTCTCCTCCTCCCCTTCCTCCCCTTCCTCTCCTCCTCCCCCCTTCCTCCCTCCCTTCCTCTCCTCCTCCCCCTTTCCTCCCTCCCTTCCTCTCCTCCTTCCCCACCAACAGCAGCAGCCCCCCCCCCCCCCCCCCCCCCCAATCAGCCGCAGTCGCCGCATCAGCAGCCGCCGCCGCACCCTCCACCGCCCTCCACCTCCTCCCCACTCCCCTCATCAGCCGCATCTCCCCCCTCCACCTCCTCCTCCTCCCCTTCCTCCTCCCACCAGTGGCAGCAACCGCCTCATCTGCAGCAGCCATATTTCGCCCCCTCCCCTCCTTCCTCCTTCTCCCCTCTCCCCTCATCCCCAGCAGCAACATCATCAGCACCCGCAATTCCACCATGACCACCGAAGCACTCGCCGTCGACATCTCCACCATCGACGTCCTCGAGCTCATCGACGACGCTGTCCCTGTCAACTGGGCTACCTTTGCCCAAAGCCTCACAAATGTCCTCGGATCCGCAATCATCAACGATTACTGCCTCCTCGACATTCTCCTTGGCACTGACGCAGGGCAGCCCCCAGAGCGTCCTGCTGATGTCTCCCCTGCACCTCCCGCCCCACCTCCACCCCCCTCGGGACCGGCCCCCACCAAGCCCTCCCCACTGGTCTACACCGATGACCCTGATCGATGGGCTCGCGTGCAGCACCAGTATGACAAGGACTTTGCGGAGTACACTCTCCTCCAGCACGCGTATGACGCAGAGCAAGCTGCGCATGACGCTGCCAACACACTTCTCCAGCAGCACAAGGACGCCACGGCTAAGTATGCTGACGACTTTCGTGAGTACCGTCGTCGCCACTCTGCCTGGAACATTCCCAACCGCAAATGTCTCGCTATCCTGTCTGCATGCGTTCCTTCCTCCCTCAAATGCGAAATAACCCCCTCCTCCGCTCCCGAGTTCTGGAAAGAGCTATGTGCCACCTATGACCTCTAGGACACCAACTCTCCCCTAGCGCTCCACCGCGCCTTCCTCGACATCAACCTCGACTCCTGCCCCAACGCCCTCTCCTTCACGCGCCGCCTCCTCACCACTGCCAAACGCCTTGCCGATTGTCGCTCTCCCCTTCCCAACTTCCTCATCGTTTGCCACCTCCTCGACGGTCTCACACCCATGTATGAGGTCCGTCGCGTGGCGTTCAATGAGGTTCACGCCAGCTTCCCACCCAACTCCGCCTATGTAGCCGCATGGATTCTGAAAACTGAAGCGGAGCTTCTCCGCCAGTTTCCTCCGACGGCTCATGCTGCCCAAGCAAAAGGAGGACATGGTGCTGGCCGTGGTGGTACTTCGGCGGGACGATCGGGTGGTGGACGTGGCGGGGGGCGCAGTGGAGGACGCGGGGGTAGCAGTGGTTCCAACAGCACCGGCGGCTTCTCCCCATGTCAGTATCTCATCCGCAACGGCCCCAACAAGGGTAAGTGCTGCCTCCAAACCACCCATGCCACCACCACATGTTTCAAGGCCCTCACTAATGAGTGGCTTGATCGAGGCAACACGGGCACGCCCCCTCGCTGGTCCGCTATCACTCCACCTCCCACTCCCTTTGATGTTCGTACCCTCCCCGCCTATCAGCCCTCCTCTACCTCTCTCCACCACATCCTCGCACAGCACCTCCCTCCACAGATCCTCAAGCAGGTCACGCTCCTCCTTCCGTCCCCCCAGCCGCAGCAGACTCAGCACCCGCAGCAGATCCAGCAGCCGCAGCAGTCCCAGCAGCAGCCGCAGCAGCTCCTGCAGCAGCTCCTCCAGCAGCTGTAACAATCTCAGCAGCACCAGCAGTCTCAGCAGCAACCCTCCCCTCCCTCCGCCTGGAGCTCCGGCCTCTCTGCTCCTGCTCCTCTTGCGCAGGCCCCCACCGGACCTCTTGGCTTTACCCCATTTCCCTCTCCTGGCTTCATTAACCATGTTAGTCATGCTTCTCCTGCTATTCCTCCAATGTATCCCGAGTCTATCAATGAAACCTCCTTCCAGTACTCCGTGTCTCACCCCACCCCTCCTTCCATTGAGTTTGTCATTGACAGCGGCGCCAGTGGCACAGTCCTTCGTGACGCTGGTGCCCTCACCCCCCTCCCTAACCCCTCCACCATCATTGGAGCCGATTCTACTTTCTCTGTCACCTCCCGCCATACCTCCACTCTTCCCTGCCCCCTCTTCCCCTCAGGTTCAGTAACTGGCTTCCATGTCCCCTCCCTTTGCACTAACCTTGTCTCCCAAGGTGCACTTCAACGGGCCGGGGTCACAACAATCTACCCCCGCCACGCCACCCACTGCGACCTGTTTCACTCATCCACGGGTCATTTCATCGTCCGTGTTCCCATGTGTCCTCGCACTCGCATGTACACCCTTCACACTCCCCGTCCGTCAGCCTGTCACACTGCCTCCACCATCCCTCCCCTCCCCCCTCCTCTCTTTCCTCCGCAACCTCCCCCCACCTCCCCTCCCACCCCTCCTGCTCCCCCCCCATCTCAATGCCATTGTCGTGATCTTACACATCCTGCCATCCTCCTCCACCACCGCCTAGGTCACCCCAACTTTGCCACCCTCCACAAGGCCGTCGCCTCCGGGCTCCTCAATGGCCTTCCCCTCACTCTCCCTCCACTCCCTCCCTCCCCTGCCCCCCCTTGCACCATCTGTGTCCAGAGCAAGCTCAAGCAGCTTCCTCATAAAAGTCACCCTTCTTGCGCCCCAGAGCTCCTGGATCTTGTCCACATGGATCTCTGGGGCCCCAACCCCTCCCCCACCCGTCAAGGGCACCGCTACCTCCTCGTCCTGGTCGATGACCGCTCACGATACACCTCGGTCTCCCTCCTTCGCACGAAGGCCGAGGCACCGGCCTTCATTATCGCCTGGGCCGAGCAGGCGCGCACCCACTTCGGTCGTCCCGTTCGCCGCTTCCATTCCGATGGTGGCGGTGAATTCCTCAATCACCATCTCTCTTCCTATTTCTCCACCCATGGCATTCACCACACTTCACCCTCCCTCACTCCCCTCAGCAGAATGGCGTGGCAGAAGCTCGTGTTCGAGAAGTTACAAAGACCGCCAGGTGTCTTCTCGTTCACGCCTCCTGCCCGCCTTCTCTCTAGGGTTATGCTCTTCTCCACGCCGTCCTCCTCACTAACCTGTATCCCCACCCTCTCCTCCCCTCCACCACCCCCACCGAGCTGTGGACGTCAACTAAACCCGACGTCTCCCCCCTGCGCGTCTGGGGTTCCAGTGCATATGTTCTCATACACCCAGCCGACCGCTCACGCACAGCAGGGAAGCTCGCCTCCAAGAGTCTACCCTGTGTATTCCTTGGTCACAATACCTCCTCCCCTGACTCCCTGTTCCTTCATCCCCCCTCAGGTCGCCTCATTCGTAGTCGGGACGTCATCTTTGCCGAATCCTCCCCGTACTACACCTCTCCTGCCTCACCTGACCCACTCACCATTCCTCCTCGCCCCTTCATCCCCTCTGACACTGTCACCCCCCCCTCCTCCCCCCTCTTCCTCTTATTCCCCCACCCCCAGCACCTCCTCCTCCCGAATCTACTTCCTCCTCATCTTCCTCATGTGACATCCTTGACCCAGTACTCCCCCCCTCTCCCTCTCACTCCGCTTCCGCTCCATCCTCCCCCTTCTCCCCACCTCCTCCCCCTCCACCTCCTTCCCCCCTCCTCCCCCATCTCCCCCACCTCCTCCTCCACCCCCCCAGGTGTCTTCTCCCCTTGTCCTTCGCCACCGCCCTCATACTCGGTCCATGGATCCCCTCTTTGGTCCGCCCTTAGCCCCTCCCTCCCCTCAGGCAAAGGCACCTGCTCCAGCACCCTTTGCTTCCACCTCCGCACCCGCCGCAGCAGCTCCCGCCGCCGCACCAGTGCCTGCCCCGGTCGCCGCACCTGCAGCGTCAGGATCCGCCGCAGCAGTGGCCCCGGTCAAGCAGCCGTGCAGCCGAGTCGCAGAGTCGCCGTGTCGCAGCCTCCCCCCCTCAGCAGCGCAGCAGACTTGCAACACCACCCTCCCTTCCTCCTCCTTTCTCTCCCCTCCTCATCGAAGACTCCCATGGTGAATTTCTTCGCCTCCACCTCTTCTCCAACACCCAAGCAGTCGCCTTCAGCATGACCGGCGTCCCGGTACTTGTCTTCTCCGGCGCGCCCATCATCTTCGAGCCGGGACATTATCACGAAGCTATGACATGCCCCGACCACCCTCATTGGGGCAAGGCAGTCCTCAAAGAGAATGAGGCCTTTGTCCGCAACGGCACCTTCATCGACGTACCCCGCCCTCTCAACCACAACGTGGTCAAGGGCAAATGGGTATTTCGGGTCAAGCTCCTCCCTGGCGACGACCCGATCTATAAGGCCCGCTACTGCGCCAAAGGATTCACGCAGCGGTACGGCCATGACTTCCTTGACACCTACTCGCCGACCGCCACTCCCCCTGTCGTCCGCGTGTTCTTGGAATTCGTCGGCCGGCGCGGCATGATCCTGCACTCGATGGATGTCACCACGGCATTTCTCCAAGGTGAACTCCAGGAGCGCATCTTCATGGAGCGTCCCGAGGGCTGGCACCTCCCTTTCCCTCCCAACACCGTTTGGGAACTTCGCCGCCCGGTCTACGGCCTCAAGCAAGCTCCTCGGGAATGGCATGCCAAGCTCTCGAGCACTCTCCGTGCTCTTGGTTTTTGCCCTTCCCAGGCTTCCTCCTGCCTCTTCCTGCGCACCTCCCCCTCCCCCTTCTACATCCTCGTCTGCGTCGATGACATGCTTCTTGCCGCTGACAATGAAGCAGACCTACAACAGGTCAAGGATGAGCTGCAGAAGCGCCTCCTCTGCAAGGACCTGGGGGAGGTCCGCAACTACCTCGGGATGGAGATTTCTCGCGGTCGTGCGGCCAGGACCATCTCCCTCTCTCAGGCATTCTACCTCGAGAAGGTCCTTGAACGCTTTGAGATGGCCACGGCCAAACCCGTCGCCACACCCCTCCAAGTCGGCCACCAGCTCTCGCCGACATCCACCCACGGTTCCTCCACCAGTCCTTACGCTGAGCTGGTTGGGTCCTTGATGTACGCCATGATGTGCACTCGCCCCGACCTCGCCTACCCTATCACTGTCCTGGCGCGCTTTGTCGGCGCTGGCAAACACACTCCCGAGCACTGGCAAGCGGCCAAGCGCGTTCTCCGCTACATCAAAGGCACCAAGGACTATGTCCTCACCTTGGGTGGCCCCACCCCTCCTCAGCTCACTGGCTATAGCGACTCCTCTTGGGCGGATTCTCAGCCCGATCGTCGCACCTCACAGGGGTATGGTTTCTCCCTCGGGAGCGGCCTCATTTCCTGGCGCTCCACCCGCTCCTCCTCGATCGCTCTCTCCTCCTGCGAAGCAGAGCTCTACGCCGTCACCATGGCGGCCCAGGAGGCGCGGTGGCTCAGCTTCCTCCTCGCTGAGCTGGATGCTCCCCAGCCCTGTCCCACCATCTGGTGCGACAATGCCAGTACTATCCACCTCACAAAGGAAGCCGTTTTCCATGGTCGCTCCAAACACATCGAGCTCCGACACTACTTCGTTCGTGAGCTCGTCCAGGCTGGACACCTCACCGTGCGCAAGATTGACTCTTCAGCCAACCTTGCAGACATCTTCACCAAGGCCCTCCCTCGTCGTCCCCATGCAGCTCTCCTTCGCCTTCTGGGTCTTGCCCCTCCCTCACAGGGGACTACCTGATTCAGGGGTTGCTTCTCCTCACCTTCCCAAGACTTATGGCACTCTGTAGGCTAAGGGGTTGTGTTAGAATATTCTCCCTTCATTCTATTAGCCTACATCGTTTCATTGTCTTAGGTACTTATAAGCACCCCACTAGGGTGTATACACCCAAGTTGGGGGCTGGGTGCCCAACCTTGTTGGGTTCCCAAATTGGTTGGGCTCCCAATTATTGGAACCCCCAATAATCCCAACCAAGATTATTGGACCCACCAATAATCTTGGCTAGGATCATTGGACCCCCAATAAGTTGGCCAACTCAACTTATTGGGGTCACCAATAATCGTGGTCACCTCCCAACCAAAACCCCCCCCTCCCTCCTACCCCTCACCTATGTATACCCACTCTTTTCCTAATACAATCATCACTTGAGTTTCTCACACCTTTCGCGGGGATGCGGCCGCGTGGAGTGAAGGAAGGGAGACGAGAATCAGCGCGGCGAGGCCCAAAACGGAGCGAAGAATGCCCATCGAAAGTTGCGCGGGATGCCCGAGAGTTGGAGCGATGATGCGAGATTTCTCAAAGATCTCTCGTGAGACTCGGATGTGCGGTTTTCGGAGAACTGGGGTGAAGGCACTCGGTAATCGCAGACTGTGGTGATGAACGTCTGATAAGGGTGACTTTAAGTACTACTTTTTGCACTAGTAGTGGCGTGGACGAGCAGAGCTGAGATGAGTGGGCGGAGGGATGGTGGCCATGTCTATTAACCAAGTCCCTCAATTATTGCCTTTTGGCACTAGTAGTGGCCTGGACGAGCAGAGCTGAGATGAGTGGGCGGAGGGATGGTGGCCATGTCCACTAACCAAGTCCCTCAATTATTGCTCAATTATTGCACAACCGAGTCCCTCAGTTATTGCTCAATTATTCCACAACCGAGTCCCTCAATTATTGCTCAATTATTGCACAACCGAGTCCCTCAATTATTGCTTGCTGAGTGGCCGGGAAAAGGAATCTTTCGACCCAAAGCTCACTGCTTGAGCTGGCTGCGATGCAGGTGGAGTGGGCAACAGGGGAGCACCAGGGGGGAGGCCGTGTTTGGTTCGGTGTGATGCGCAACGGTTGAAGGCGGTAAAGCGCAAGAACAGTGTCTAACCGTAAGGCACCTAGACGAGAGTGTGCGCAGATGTGGTGGTCATGCGCTATTATTGGTCACCTCGTGCCGCGCATTCTCAGGCGCCTCCGGATTTTGCGTGAGCGCCGCACTTTGCGGCATGAGAATAGTTGTGTACGTAATGGCAGAAAGCGTACATTGGCTAAGCACGGAAGGAGTGAAAGTTCCTAGCCTGGGAATTGAAACGACTGCCTCTTACCAACATCTATCAAGTGTCCACTTCCACATAGAACCATAGAATCATAAATATTATACATGAAAAACTATTTCAACTTATTAAGAGTCTACTTCAGTACTTATTCAAAACAACAAAATGCTTGAACATTGAGATCTTATGAACCGAGGGGGATCCACATGATTCGTGAGTGCCCCTACAGTTGTGTTTTGGGTTACGGCTGCCTCAGTTTGGTGTTCACAGACTAGAGGTCTAGCTGCTTCGATGCCTGTGGATCCAGTAGAGGATCCCACATCCTTAGCACTAGCAGCCAACTGCCAGCACCAGCGCCAGCCGCCAACGCCAGCCAGTAATCGCTAGCAGTCGCCAGCCAGCTCGCCGCTGGCCTGCCAGCCCGCCAGCAGCCAGCAGCTGCCAGCCAGCTCGCCACAACCACCGCTGCCGCTGCTGCCATCCCCATTGCTGCCGCCGCTGCCACTGCGACTGCCACTCCCGCTACCGCTACTGCTGCTGCAGCCCTTGCTGCAGCTTCTCCTCTCGCTCTTGCCGCTGCCGCTGCTCCACCTGCTGTTTCCGCTGCCACTGCAGCCGCTGCTGCTGCCGCTCCTGCCGCTGCAGCCGCTACTACCGTCACTCTTGCTGCCGCTGCCGCTAGCCAGCAGCCGCGCCGCCGCCGCTACATGCCAACTCGCTGCCGTCGCCACGCCGCCGCCCGCTAGCAGCAGCCGCTGCCACCGGCTCCCATTGCAGAAACCGTCACCGCTGCCTCTGACGCAGCTGCCGCCGCTTCTGCCGCCTCCGTCTTCTTGGCTGCAGCTGCCACCTCAGCGGCCAGCATGTCGGCGACCAGTAGCATCTTCGTTCTGCGCCTGGATGGGGAGGGGCGGGCGGTTGGTTTCGCCGCCTGGCAGGAGACAGCTCTCCTGCAGCTCACGAATCAGCACGTCGATGATGAGTCTTTGGACGTCGACGTCACTAGTGAGCTCCCTGCTGTCCCCTGCCCGAGCGCTCTTGCTGCTGATGCGACGTCTGCATAGCAGGCTGTGCACGTTGCTGCTCGTACAACCTACTCCATCTGGGAGTCCCGCGACGCCAGTGCTCGTGTCGCCATCCTCAGGTGCCTACCCGTTGATGAGCACTCTCACTTTGTGAGTGCTGTGTCAGCCCGCGCCCTCTAGACGGCTATCCTTGCTAGGTACTCCACCCATCGTCTGCCACTTTTGGTCATCTCCTCTTCCCTTTCTTCCACCCCGACCTAACTTCCTTCACCACTATAGCAGACTTAGTCGAGCACATGCACTCCCTCGAGGCCCGCTGGCATGCGGCCTGTTCCCCCTCTTTGCCACTATCTACTTCCTTGTTACCCGCCTCCCTAACTGCCTTGCCCCTGTCCGTGACGCGCTCCTCGCTCATCACCCCTCTGAGCTCACCCTTGACCTCTTCTCTACCTCCCTAACTGAGGTAGAGAACCACCTCCGCGCCATCACTGGTTCCACTGGCGCGCCGGCAGTCCCTATCTTCCAGGGCAGCGCTCCCTCCGCGCCAGCAGCACTAGAGTCATCAGAATACATAGAATACAAGGCATGATCTATCTGAATCATATCCATATCAAAGATAGGAACCCTATAACGAAGCAAAGCAGGCCAAAGGGGTACCTGCACCAACGAGCCGAATTGATGGCGGTAGAGGTCGTTGAGGCGGCGGAAGCAGCAGGCGGCGGTGTGGCCCTTTCGCAAGCGGACCTGGCCCCCCTCGGGGCCGGTCAGCAATCGTTAAGTGCAGGTCGCCACGCCGACAAGACCAATAGCACCCTGGCTCGCAGTGGAGCCACGCGACCCCCAGGGCATCGACTGCCCGTGTATAGTCTAGGATCCACTGCCGCGTCAGGAGTAGACTCCCTGATTGCGCCAGGCGTAGGATCTGTTAGAGATTCTTCACTGGGCCTCGCCACGTCGGTCGTCTCCTTTATCCTAGACTCTGGTGCATCTCGTTACTTCTTTAAAGACGGTACTGCTCTCACCCCGCTTTCTGTACCTGTCCGCGTCGCACTAGCAGACTCCTCCGCCACAGTTGTCGCACGTAGAAATATCCCTCTCCCCTGTCCTGCTGTCCCCTCCGGCTCCCTCCCCGGACTGCACGTCCCCTTGTTTCCCAAGAACCTAGTGGGTGTCGGTCATCTCCAGGACAGAGGAGTCACCACCACGTTCCCTGGCCGCGAGAGATACGCAGCTTGCACAGACACAGCCACCGATCGCCACCTAGCCAATTTTGAGTGTGACCCAGGGTTAGGTCTCTTCACACTGCACACTGAGTCCCCACCTGCTGCTGCTTCTACAGAGGTTGCCGCGTCGTGCTCGTGTCACTCCTTTGCCCACCAAACTCCATTATGGCACAACCGCTTAGGTCACCCTGCACTCCAGCGTCTTAGGCACATGTCCCACCACGGTCTAGTCACTGTTCTTCCTGCGTCGCTCCCAGCCTTGCCTACGTATGTCGCGCCACTGTGCACCTCCTGCGTCGAGGGCTGGCAGCGCACCATCCCCCACTCCTCCTCGTTTCCTCCTACCACAGCACCTCTACAAACACTACACATGGCAGCAGGGGCCCTCCTCCGGTCCACGGTCTTAGTCTGGAGCGCTACTTCCTTGTCATCATTGACTTCTCGTAGTTCACTACAGTGTTTCCGTTGGAGCGGATACCTGACGTGCTTACCGTGCTCCTTCCGTGGTTGCTTGCTCTTTGTGTCCAGCACTGCTTGCCTGTTGTTCGCTTACACTCTGACTGTGGTGGCGAGTTTGCCTCTAGCACTCTAGGACAATTGTGTCGTGCGAAGGGCATCCGCTAAACGTACACACTGCTGGACTCCCCACAACAGAATGGGGTTGCTGAGCGATGCATCGGCCTGGTCATGGAGGCAGCTTGCACCTCCATGGTCCACGCTGGTGCACCCCATTTTTTGTGGTTGTTCACTATGTGTTACACTGCTCACTAACTTAACCTGCGGCCGCACTCCCAGCGGCCACAAGTTTTGTTGACCCTTCTCTCAACTGGGTCTCATTGTGACACGTCAACGTTTCACGTCTGGGGCAGCCTTGCTCACGTCCACGGCACTCGCGCTGACAAGCTCTCAGCCCGCACCCTGCCTTGTTTCTTCCTGAGGTTTCCGCCTGACGCCTTTGAATGGTTGTTTTACCACTCGGTACACCATCGCGTCTACCACTCTCATAGCGTTACCTTCCACAAGACGCTCCCCTGCTACCGGCGCTTCCCGGACCACAGTGCTCTTGTGCCTCCTCCTCCTCTCTCCCTCATTCCTGCCCCACATGGTGCACCCTTTCCACCTGGTTCGACCCAGTCTGGTATCTCCCGCGGCACTCATTTCCCCCTGGTTGGGCTCGTAGGAGGGTCGGCTAACTCTGGGGGCCCAGCTGCTGGGAGCATGCCTGCTGTCTCTGTGGCGCCTCCCCCAGCCTCGGTACCCCAGGCACCTCAGCCGCCTCCCCCGTTGCCTCAGAAGCCGCAGCAGGAGCTGCAGCAGACTCAGTGGCCGCAGCAGCAGCAACAGGGAGCAGTGGGCTGTAGGGGTGTTGGTGTTGGGGGTGCTAATTCTGGGAGTGCGAGTTCTAGGGGTGCCGACTCTGGGGTTGCTGGTTCTGTGGGTGGTGCGTAAAGGGGTGCCAGTCCTGGGGGTGCTGTTTTGGGGAGTGCCGGTGGTAGATGAGGTGCCGCTGAATGTGTTGGCAAGGACAGGGAGCAGCAGTAGTTGCCGTCGCA